TTTAAATGCCAAATAGATGGATATGCCACACTATAAAAGTAGTCACTTTCTGTGCGGTGAAGCGTCTCGCGTGTGGGATCGCGTGCTGCGGAAAATTGGTCCACCAACTCTGTAATCTGCATAAAGGCTCTTTCCTGCACCCGATTGCGTCGACGTTCCAGCCGACTGCGTATAAGAAGCATTTGAGACTGAATCATAAATGGTGCGGGTGCGGGGTCGACAAGTAGTCGTTCCACATATGTTTGCATGTGATGCTGCGTTAGCCCATGATACGGATTGGTGTTACGGATGTCGAGGCAGAGAGCAAGAATGATTGCCTTGTCGACAGGATGCAGTGATTGCAGTGGGGGTGCTGGACTCTCTGGGGTCTCGCGCGGTCGATCAAGCAGATCATGGCCATCCTTTTCGCCCATAACAACCCGCGGCGCATCCGTCACTAATTGCGGCGTAAATGGCAACGCACTCTGCGCATTCATGACCATCTGCACAAGCTGATGTCCCTGCCACCGTGTACGCACGCCCATCATGGCACTCTCAGAGACGGAAAGTCCACTTTTTCGGACAGCCCGCCAGAACGTTTCTGCAGCAATATCGCGTCGGTGATAATAATTATGCACATGGCCCACCTCGAGGAGATGTTCAACACTGAGATTCTCATCCGGAAGAGACAGCGCAGCATCCACACAAGCGGAAAGGTGAAGAAACACAGAATGTGCACGATGCTGCAACACAAGTTGGTGACGCATATGAACTCGTAGACGCCATACGGAATAATATGGCACAAGCGGTTGCTTCGTACCCCGCACTTTGCTACAGACAACGGCCAAGACACACAACAGAAGGCCACCCAGTCGAAGAAACGGGTGTGGCATCTCACCATCACTCACAAGCAGCCGCTGCACACACCGCTCATGAGGCACATCAGCCATAGTGAAGCGCTGCAGCACAGAAGCCAGCCGCTCCCGCTCCGTCGGTACCAACTCACCACTGAAGTTTTCAGCATTAAAGAGTCGCAGTGCAAACTCAATCGCCGGAATGACCTCTTTTTCAAGTTCCAACTGTCCCCTGTGTAATTCTCTTTGCTGCAAATAATCCTCCACAATCTGGAAATATGCGTTAGCGATAGTAGAAGCATCATCCATGGACATTGTAACACGGCCATCCTGCACGTACCTCTCGTCAATAACAACAGTCGGCAGCAGAAGCAGCAGTTCAGGAATGCTCTGCTGCATTGCGTTTTGCAGATGAATGCCGTTGACAATAACTCTCAACTACCGTAATCTTGCATTCGTTGGAATCATTGTTGTTGTTGCGCGGCCACATAAAATGGAAGCCACAAGAAACAAAGAAAAAGAAGAAAAAATAAAAAATGAAAAGAGTGCAGTAAATCACAAGAATTAACCGTCCATTCTTCCCCAGCGTCACGCACATAAACAGGGGAAAAAAAAAGGGGGGGGGGGGGGCATTGCAGTTTTTAAAAAAGTACGTTAGATGCAAACATCATTGCCCCCCTTCACCTCCCAAATGTCGTCAAAGTGCATGCAAGACAAGTTCCACCTTTAAATTTCAGAAACGACGGGCCATTCAATCGCCACAAGAAACAAGACGCTAGCCGTAAATGGCTATAAATGACATCCCTCGCAACCATATACAATGCAATAAGAAAGTAAAAAAAAAAAAAAGGTGGTGCATCCTCCCCCCAGTGATAGCTCAACAAAGTCCAATGACGCTAACGACGGCAGAATTCTTGTGTGTATGTTCAGTCTTCCTGGTGGATAACACTGACACTGTTTGTTTCCCTCCCCGCCACCATGGGCTAGGAATCTGCTCGTGTTCCCCCAACACCGCCTCTGCTTCGCGCCACTAACATCCTCCGCATGACTGCTCCATTACCCGCCACACAACTAGGGTGCACTGCCACAGTAAAAAAATGGTGGCGGCGGTGTCTACGATGAAGCCCTTACCCGCCCCCTAGTGGAAGAGAACGGCAACGGCAACCACCACGGCGCCAAGCACTCTCCATGTCATCGTCATTATCATCCGCATCATCATTCTCTGTATCCTCTTCTGTCTTTGTCGTTGTGATTTGTTTTTGCTTCTTTTTCTTTGAGAGAAACTTCTTGCGGTGGCAGTGCCATCCGAAAAGGCATGGAGAGCAGTTTTTCCCCTTGAGACCACGCCCCGTGCTGTGTTCAAACAGCCACAACGGTTACCTTTCCGCCAGGCACAACGCATTCAATTGCGGCGACGACAGCGCATTCAGTGGGGGGTGCCACCCAGATTCCTAAAGAACCACATTCCACCAACAAACACACCAATGCGCCTTGGTAGCACGGCAGAATATGCGTCAAAGTCAAGAAGTGGTGGAGATGTAAGATGCCTCTTTTCCACCCTGAGAGTTACGTCGCCACATTTCATATCCCCGCTTTCTTTGCTTCATTGCTCAAACCAAACACATATGGGCCTCAAGGGCATGTGCCTTACACTGGCAAAGCGCCCCTCTCCGTTGCGGCTTAACGTCCCCAATAAGTGAAAATGTTACGTGTCTGTCGTTGGGCGAAGTCAAAAGCCGCTGCAATTTCCTCCGCTCTTCGAGCATATTTGCGCACGGCACAAAAACAAAGAAAATGCAGATATATATATATAAACAAGCATAATAATAATCCCCTTAGCGGCTGCATTTACAAAATACCGCCCCGCCAACGACGACTCCCTCTAGTCTTCTGCTCCTCTCAAAAGCGTGTCACCATGACTGCGTTGGCCTCTCTTGTGTGAACTTCCCACCAATACTCACTGTGCGTGTTGTTGTTGTTGTTGAGCAAATACGACGTGCCAGACTTCCTCCTCCCCCCCCCCCGCTCCACTTCACACTCACACACTCAGAATCACAGACATTGCCTTCACTCGGTATGGCGCAAAAAAAAAAAAGAGAGACCCGCAATTGGGTTTGGAAGACAATAAATACCTCAAAAGAAGCATATAAAAAAATAAATAAATAAATAAAAAGTACATGTCCCCTCCATGTCCCCCCTCCCCATGCACTTCTACCGTCGTCGAAAAACCACACAGCAAAATGTTCAAACCACTGCCATTCTGCTTTATTCTTCACCTTCCTTCTCTTCTTTTCCTTTTTTTATTTTTTCTTTTTTTAGATTTGCCTCTTTTCTTCCACGCTTTGCGTCATAATTCTTTTGTTTGGGGTACCGACCCGTGGGCTCCATTAAGTGCAACTCGTGACATCACACGCCGTTGATTCAGCAGCGATCGGTCACCGCCAGATGGCCCTTTGAAAAACCGTTGAGAAAAAAAAAACAGTCAAATGAATGCTTACGATCTTGGCCACACACACACACACACACCCTCTCCTGCTCCCTCCATCCCTCCCTTCGCCTACAACTCCTTGTGGGTCCTTGAAATATCTCCGGCCCCACACCTCACATGTCGTTCCCGTGAATGTGATATGTCGCATAGTTCCCACCAATATGATCGCAGCAGACGCAATTAAGCTCAATTTTCCCTCGCCTCATCGTGGTGAAACGGTAAAAGACGTCGTGCAGACGTTGCTTCAGCGCCGGAACGCGATCCTCATGCCGCTCCAATTCCTCGGATGTACTCGTGTACGTCACCCCCTCCGGCTCGTAGTCGCCTCGCGGTGAGTGCATCCCCAAACGTGTGCCAAACGACAAACGACGAA